CAACCTCATGCATCTTCAGGAGCAAAAACCTTAAAAAAGTAAGTAAATATATGGTTTCTTGATCTAATTAACTACTGAGATAATTCCTTTTCCTTATGATTGCTTTTATAGCAAAGGAAGCAAATACCAAATCTAAGGCTAATTTTATAATATTGAAAGTTTATGATCAAACCACTTACCAGGTACCAACTTTAGCCAACTGCAGGTGTTCAGAAGTAAAAAAGGCCAGGCACAGTGGCTCATACCTATAATCCCAGCACTGTGGGAGGCCGAGGTGGGAGAATTAATTGATGCCAGGAGTTTGAGACCACCCAGGGCAAGGTCATGAGACCCCTGTCTCTACAAAAGATTTAATTTAAAAAATTAGCTGTGCATGGTAGCACACACCTGTAGTCCAAGCTAGCCAGGGGGGTAAAGTAGGAGGATCGTCAGAAGTTTGAGGCTGCAGTGCGCCAAGGTCATGCCACTGCACTCTAGCTTGGGCAACAGAGAGAGACCTTGTCTCTAAGGAAAAAATGATAAAATAAATAAAACATGCATTTTGTCTGTTGACGTAATTCACAGTTTAGGACACAACCTGTATATAATTGCTTTTTGGATACTTAGGGAATAATAAGAGTGGGAGAAAGAAATGAGTTTTTGGCTGGAGCTTTCCAGAAAGGCTTCTTGAAGGACATGGAATTTGATCTGGACATGTAATGATGGGTAGAACTTCGAAAGATAGATATTCCAAGTCCAGCAGTGTGATCAGGGATGTGGCAGTGGGAGCATGTGTAAGATAGTGCAAAGTAGTGTGAGGACCCGTCCAACTGCGGCGTGGGATGGAGGGGCAGCAGGGGGTACTAGGACGTAAACTTGAAAGGCAGTTAGAGGTTTTAGAGGTTTTGTTGATGTTGGATTTGAATGCTAAGCCATAGAGTGTGCAGTGACTGAACACCAGAAACTTTTGACCCAATGTGGGATATGGCCCAGGGACACCCAAGAGAATTTTAGTAGTGTAGTAATGGGATGCTAAACTGTTAACAATACATATATTCTAGCAAGTAAAATCAAAAGTTTTCAAAACCTTTTGGTTAGAGATTTCCGAACTTGCACAGAAAGAGGATAGTGAGCCCCCCTTGTCCTATCAGATAGCTTCAGTAATTATCAATACCTTGCTTAACATTTTGCTTCACCTGTACCTCTACCTGCCCTCTCACCCACCTCCCTCCACACACAATGTACACACATCTCACACACACACACACACACACACACACACACACACGCGATTATTTTAACGTGAGTCCTAGACATCACTTCAGATAGATTTAAGAACTGATGTTCAAATGGTTTTCAGAGTGTGAGCCTTCGTTTTTTGGTGTGGTGGTTACTTGACTGTTACTGAAGATACAGAAGTAGGGTGTTGATTAACCTAGTTTGGGACATGCAGAGTTTGAGGTGCCTGTAGGATATCCACTGAAGATAGCTAGCTGTTGGATTTGTGGTTTAGAACAGAAGGCTGAGACTCCAGGTCTAGACTCAGGCCCACAGGTGCTAGTTGAAGGCATGGCAGTGAGGAGAGCCCAGGGAAAATTGAGCACTGAGAGTGTCGGACCCTGGTTAAGCATTGGGAGCCGCCGCCTTTTCCAGAATTATTTAGTTTGCCCAGGCTCTGGCAAAGTATTCAAGGGAGTAAAACCCAGAAGGCTACTATGTATGCGTATGTAGTCTTTTTGTTTGTTTAGTTGGTTTTGTTTTGTTTTTTGAAATGGAGCCTCGCTCTGTCGCCCAGGCTAGAGTGTAGTGGCATGATCTCAGGCTCACTGCAGCCTCTGCCTCCTGAGTAGCTGGGATTACAGGTGCATCACCACGCCCAGCTAATTTTTTGTATTTTAGTAGAGACAGGGTTTCACCAGGCTGGTCTTGAACTCCTGACCTGAAGTGATCCACCTGCCTCAGCCTCCCAAAGTGCCGAGATTACAGGCGTGAGGCACCACACCTGGCCTGTACACGTAAGTTTTAAGAACATGAATTAATCTCATTTAGTTGTACATAAACTGTCTTAGAAGGACACTGTAGAAAGTCTTTTGGCAAGTCTAAAAATGGATTAAGGTAATGACTAAAAACATCGGTTTATTTTTCATCTTTATAAAATGTTCACATCAAAGAAAAAGAATATGGAAAAGATAATATCTCAGTGACTTCCCTGATGTCACAATATGCCATTGCTTTTTTACAGAGATAGACTCTCTGCTAGTGACATGCTGCAAGTCCGAAAAGTTATGGAACATGTTTATGAAAAAATTATCAACTTGGATAATGAGTCTCAAACCACTAGCTCTTCTAATAATGAAAAACCAGGAGAACAGGAAAAAGAAGAGGATATTGCTGTGTTGGCAGAGGAGAAAATTGAACTTCTGTGCCAGGACCAGGTAAGTGGACTTGAGGACCACAGCCCCATTTTTGCCAGTGCTGGTGCTCATAAAGAGTTACATGATGATGTGATTGTAGTTCCAAATCGATTGCCTTTGGGTCGGGGGGCTTCAGCTTTTAGAGAGGCTCTAAGGAGCCCTGGGCCTCTCCCACCTATCTGTGCGTCCCCTTTGGAGGGGCTCTTCAGCCCACTCTAAAGCTCCTCTTTACTGCTGCAGAGATTCTCAGAGAAGGGACACATAGACAGATGTGGATACGCTGGTAGCTTTTTTTTTTTTTTCTGACAAGAAAAAGACACACGGTCTTCTTGATTTGCAAAGCAGCATGTGCCATGCTAGTTTATGATTTAGAGTGAAGGTATGTGGAGAAATGGCAGAACTGTTTTTTAAATCAAAGTGCACTCAAAACGTATCCTCAGAGGAATGGCTGAAAGATGGCCTGGTGTTTCTGGCATAGTCACAAAAGATGCACTTCTCACTAAGCTCAATTTCGTTCCTGCCTGCATGGAAGCCGTGACAGCAAGAATTGGATACCAGGCATAGGGGAGGAGTGAGCAAGCTGGATCACCTGATGAGAGTCCCTGAGTTAATGAGAAAGGTTTTAGATATCAGAGACTTTGAAATTTTTAAATGTAATTTTGGCTATTCAGGTTTTGGATCCAAATATGGACCTTCGAACAGTGAAACACTTCATATGGAAGAGCGGTGGAGACCTCACCCTCCATTACCGTCAGAAGTCCACGTGAAGGGTGGGCTAATGCTCCTGGGTATTCATTTACGACCTTCCTCTTTGGCCCCAAGAGTAGTCCTAGGAAGCCCACTGAGCCCCAATGGGAGCAAGACTTCTAACGGCCGATTTGGTATGGACTGAGATTATCTTTCAATTGAAGTGACTAATCGAAATGTAATATAGAAACCAGTCTCCATGTGTAGATTAAGCTACCCCAGGGAAGCAGAGTGCAAAAGCAGAAGAGCCCCAAGGAGACTCTGCCTTTCGAGATGTACAGAAGACTGACAACAGGCCAGTGCAGACTTTCCTTCCTCCTTTTGTTTCAAAGGACCTTATCTGTCCGTTAGCACTTGTTAGAGACATGTTGGTCGGGCCACATCTGTGTGTTTCAAGTTCAAACCCATACACTCTGTAGCTTTTCTAAAAGAGTACATTCCATTCATGCAATAGGTAAGAAGGCTTTTTCCAAGTTTGTCATATAAAAAATTGTTTTCACCACTTGACAGTTATTTTTAATGGGAATTTGCTGTTGCACAATTTGAGAACCAGCCCATTTCATAATAAAAAATTAATGTCGGGCTTGTTTTTAATATTGCCTCAGATGTGTTCTTGTAGGAAGACCTGTTGAAATTCCAGGTGTTGGATCATAGCACTTGGCCTGCTGGGCCAGCGTTTACGCAGCCTGTGCCTAGCGATGCTGCACCCTCCCATAATGTCCTGGCTTTGTGGCAACCCCAGGGAGGTACAGCCATTTCACTCCTTCCTCCACTGTGTCCAGTTTTATTTCCACAAGGTGAGCTGAGACCACACAGGTTCTTACTCTGAATGAGCAGCATGACACCATGAAAACTTAAGACCATGATGAAATTTCAGTTTCATTCAAATGTTACCTAAAAGTTATGGTATCAGAGTAAAGGGAGATCATAGTGAGTTAATTTGATATTCATATCCTAGAAGTATATATAGTTGTTTTTCCAAAGTTTTATATGCAGGTTTTTGTTGTGCCTGTATCCAGATCTTTTTTTCACTGTTCTAACAATCTTAACGTTTTCATAGAATCATTTGGATCTTGTACATAATGTAACTTATTGGGGATAAACACTTCCACTTTTGAGAGAAAATACTTTGGATTCTCTCCAAGGTCATTTGTATTCAGAGTAGATCAATGGTCCACCCCCATGAAACTGTGAGACGAGCCTCCTGTACGAAGCCAGAAGCACAAGTGCCTTCAGAGGGCAGCTTATTCCGGTCCAGCTGCCTCCCTAGCTTGTGTGTGGCCTGTCTCCACCATAGCAGGGACTGGGGAGGGAGGTAGGGAAGGTTTCTTCTTTTCTACATCTTCACAGGTTTAGCTGGGGGCAGTCCATACCTTACTATTTAAGATATTCTGATCGCACAACTGCAGAGACAGGGTTCCCTCACTGCTAGTCAGCTTCCTCTGGAAACTGGACAGGCCATTGCCGCCTGCACTTTAAGAAGTGAGCAAAGACATGACCACATTTCCAATAAGCTGAAATGGTCTTTCTCCCTTCCTCAGAGAGCAACCAGCTTCTTTTTTTAAAAAATCCTTTCTATCTGTTGGATACAACGGTGCACTTTTGGTGCCCATTTTTTAGCAATAGTTGTGAATTAATGGCAAAACAACAACAACAAAATCTTATTTACCAGCCCTCAGTTGTGTTTACACGAGGGGCCTTTGAGCAAAGAAATGGATTTTGCTGGGTCATTTTGCCCTGTGTGCTAAGCCTTGGGTGGCTTCATCCCCTCCTGTCATAGATCCGACCCCCAGCATGATTGTATTTTTTTCCCCTCCAGTCAAACCATAATACAGTTTCCAGAAAATTGACAGTCTGCAATGCCAAAAGGGTAAAAATCTGTATTTCACAGTTGTATAGAATAAAGGCTTTAGTTAAAATATTTCAAAGTGTAGTACACATTTATTTTCATTTGTCGTTTTAATAGCAGATGACAGAGAAAGAAACCTCTGGTTTCATGTTCTCCCTGGAAATATTAGCATTGATACCCATTTTATCCTCCAACTTACAGGGGAAGGGGAAGTAAAAATGAGGAAGAGCCAGAACCTTTGGGTGAGGGCAACTTTGGGTCAGACTGCCAGGCTACAGCATTAAGGGAAGCTGGCCCCAGAATAGTCCTGTGGCGATTCTATTTTACTTCCTGCATTCCTGTGAACTTTGGCAGACGACACACCACCTTACTGTTTGGCACACATACTTGCTGCTCTGGTAGGCTTGACAAGGGTTTGCCTTAAATGAAAGGTCTGCTTCAAACTTAAGTGTTTGCTGATTTGGGGCCCTCCATCCATATAGTTGGTCTGTGCCCTGAGGTGTCCTTGTCCTGCACACCTAACAGAGCATGCAAGTCCCCTGCACGAACACCAGCATTACAGATAATCCTGTAAAGGTGAGACTTTCAACTAGGCACAGGCTAGAAGACAAGGCCAGAGGCAGCTTTCATAGGATCAGTGTGGGAGTGAGGGTCCAGTCAACACAGCAGAGGACTTCAGGTGATGAGGGGCCATCCCCAGATGGAGTAGAGGGCCCAACCTAGCCTTAACCGCCAGGGGCACCTGGGGTGGGTAGAACTTTACCTACTCTTAACCTGTCCCCCTAATTCCCCCTTGGGGTTGGGGACTGTGTGAATAGACCTTATCAGGTGGACTGGCTTTGAGAAACTGCTTAGGGTGGTGACCTTAAACTTGCAACTTTTATTCACTGCTGGGGCTGGGTAGATGCCTTGTATATTTAGAAAAGATCACTGTTTAAGTTTGGGAGCTAACAGAAGTTGCCACTGGGGATACAGGTCTGTGGCATGTAGTCCCTGAGGAAGAAGAAATATTGTGGTCTGGGCACAAATGGGTATCTGCTGAAGGGCCTAGAATTTCCAGCCCCCCTCCCTCCAGGAGATGGGGGCAGGTGTGCTACCTCTCTCTCCCTACTGTGACTGGCATGGTGGTCATCCTGAGCCAACTCTGGCAGCGTAGCCTAGGGACAAGGACACCTGACAGAGGAGTCAGTGATTAGAACTTGAAAGGGGGTGGTCCCAGGGCTCCAGGGTCCCTTCCAGTACAGATGGGGTGGGCTGAGCTGTGCAGGAAGAATCAAAGCATCCAGGCCAACACTGGACAGCAGTCCCTTCCTTCCTCACCTCATCTTCACACTGATTATGACCAGACCCTGCTGCCTCCTAGGCAGCCCCAGTGACCAGATCAGGACCAAGCACTGGACCTGAGGGTACACAGCCAACAGATGTCCTCCCACAAGGCCGATGGCCCCTCTCACCATCCACTGAGGCCTCATGCCCCACCCAAACAGCAAAGAATCCTTCTCCTACCGCAGCTCCTATAAAACAATTTGAGGTGCTGCTCCCAGCTGTCGACTACCCCAAAAAGACTTGTTTGAAACCCCCAAAGCCAGGACTGTCAGGCAGGATAAATGCTGGAGGTCACCTCTTGGACACTAGAAGTAGAGTCTGAGTGGACACAGAAGCCCCTGCCAGCAGAAGTCTCTGCACATCACCTGCAGCTGTAGCCTAGAAAGCTGAACACACAGGGCTGGGATCAGGCACAGGGCTAGGGTTGGCATGGAGCTGACTGCCTCATGCAGCCTGGACTGCCTGCCCACATCTGGACCTCATGATATGTCACTGGGGCCTTGTCACAGCTCAGGGTGTTTCTCTGCGGTAGAGATCTGGGCCTGGCTGGCCAGCCCCTCAGCCTCTACCCCCAAATCTGGGCTCTCTGTGCTTGCTGGTTCCTCCTCAGCCTGAGCTTCGAGCAGCTCGGCGGACAGCCCGTCTTCTGGTGAGGCTGCAGAGGTGAGGCTGTCGGGAAGAGTCAGCTGAGGCAGGTGGTCCGCCTGGGCTTGGGCACCTGGGCTGTCCAGGAAGGAGACCTCAAACTCTGATCCAGACCACGTAGCCTCACCTGCAACACAGAAGATCAGGCTGAGGAGGCCTGCAAGAACCTAGGGCCGTGGTGCTGGGGCCAGTAACCCCACTCACTGCCCCCAACTGCCACTCCCGGTTTGATGGGGGACTGGAGACGGAGTGTACCAATATCTTGGTGTGGCTGTATCCACCCGACGGCCCGCTTCTGACCAGCTGAGGAATTCAGGACATCCTTCCCAACAACCCGGGGTCCTTCCCAGAGGACTTCAGAAAGGGATGGCCACTCACCACCCCGCTCATGAGAACTGCTGCTAGAGCAGATGTCCTCCGGCCCTGAGGTTGAGACAGCTGTGGAGATCAGTTCTGTGGAAGAAGGCAGGCCGGGCCACACACTGGCATTGCTGCTGTCCAAGAGGGAAATTCCCGACACGTCCAGGAAGCCTAGGGGAGGGCGGTGCAGTTCTTTGCCAGCATAAAACCCTGACTGCTAGAAAGCAGCATCCTGGCTCACCTTGCCTAGGGCATCTGGTCCAGCCTGTGAGACTGTCGTCTCCTCAATCCCTGGGGATACCCTTCACCCAGCCTTAAGAGCTTCTCGCACTGCCTATTTCTGAGGAAAGAAAGGGGCCTGGAATTGGGCATCATAGGATAGCACAGTGGCAGTGGACCTAGACCCTGCTCTGTCTCCAATTTGCTGTTTGACCTGAAGGAGGCCACCTCTCTTCTCTGGACTACGGACTCCCCATCTGTACACCAGACTGGATGATAGGCAGCTATTAATATCTTGTTGTACATGAAGTATGAGGGGTCAGCAGGGCCTGGGGAAAGTTTTGACATGAATGCCAAAGTCCAGCCCCAAGCCTGGGGCCCACTCCTCTCCAGGGCCTGCCCAGTACCTGGGTCCATGACTCGCTGCACTGGAGGTGGGGGCTGAAGAGGAGTCTCCATAGAACGGGGAAGTCCATCAGAGTCTGGAGCAGTGTGGCTGGGAGTCTCAGGCCCAGAAGGGGATTCCTCCATGGAGGAGCCAGGCGCCTGCAGCAGGGCCTAGGGAAGAGGAGGAAATGGGTAGGGGACAATCAGGACAGTGTCTCAAGGTGAAGAATTTTGCAGTCCAACTTAACCACCAGCCCACCCTTGTCCCAGGAGCACTGCTCTGCCTGAAGGAAGGAAATGGCCTTAGTAAGCCACTCCTTCTTCTATAGGTGACAGGAAGTCAGGCCAGAGGGGCCTGGCCTGGCCTCCCCTGCAGTGTTAGCATTGACAGGGAGCACTCTTTCCACCTGGATGAGGAACCCCAGGTGCCCACCTGCCCCTGACACATTCCCTTTGCTGCCTGGGCCCCATCAATGACTCGCAAGAAGAGAGGGCCTTCCTCAAATTCAGGCATACTTGGAGAACATTCTTGAATATTCCCTGGCACAGACCCCAGGCACCAGCCCACTGCCCAAAGGTGCTCTCAGAGGACCGACTCATCAGCCATGAAGGCAGGGCTGGCGCTTTCCTGCAGACTTGGCCAGACAACCATCCTGGCTGTGGCTCTGGAGGCCCAGCCCTTTGACCAGTTTTGCCACAACTCACAGGCACAACAAGCACCCATCTCTGAGCCTCAGTTTCCCACTTGTGAAATGAAGATGACAACTGGTGCTTCACCTCCACCCTCACCTGTAGACCCAAGGGGCAAGAGAGCCAAAAGTGAGTTTCACTGCTCCAGGCATGGCTCGCCTTCTCTCACTGGGTTTCAGAAGTAGATGGGCCTCTCACATCACAAAGGCCCCACAGACAGGCCCCTGGTGAGGGTTGCTGATGACTCCCCAAGAGCAGTCTCTTGAGTCTCCTCTCTTCCCAGTTGGCAGATGCTCCCTACATACCTCCATGTAGTCACTCTGCCTGGAACCTGTCTCCAGGGGAGGAGAGTCCTCCGGGGCGGGTCCAGGTGGTAGGGCACCATGCAGTGAGGCATCAGTTGGTGGGGCACCAGGTGATGGAGCAGAAAGTGGTGGGGCACCAGGTGGCTTCCTGTGGTAGCTGGGGGCCTGAGTTGGGATCCGGTGTAGATACCCATAGCCAATGCCACATCCCAGACTGCCGAAGGCCAGAAATATTCAATCGAGGGGCTTGTCCCACGGCCCTCCCTACCTTTGCTACCCCCACCTCCTACCAGCAATGAGGGGCTGAAAAGGGAACTTCTGAAACACTGGTCAGCCTCAGGATTCCTGGCCCAGGGCCCCACCCTCCTCCATCTCCACCACAGAACTCTGAGGTCCATGCCCAATGGTCAGGTCCCACCCACCTGGCCCTGCAGCCATCCAACCCCACGAAGTACCTGCCCTCTCCACCCCAGGCTGCGTTGGGAGTTACAGTCACCTCCCGGCAGGAGTCAGACTCGGAGTTATACACCATCAGCTTCAAGGGCTTCCCCTCATGAGACTCGATGAGCGTAAAGAAGTCCTCGGACTGTGAGAAATGCACAGCACCTGAGGCCTGCTTCCACGACTAAAGCCTTAACAAAACCAGACACTTCTCATGGACAGCACCCATCTCTCCACACCACATCCAGAGGGTCCGGGGAGGGGCAAGCCGTGGGTTCCTCACCTCCTGGAGGATCTGGTCTGAGCCAACCACATAGTCTGTGTAGGAGCGCAAGCCGGCAAGAGCAGCAGGTGAAGATGGTTCTACATCCTGAGGAAAGAATCGCAAACTGCTGGCCTTGCTACTAGAGGTGGGGTTGCGGGGTAGAAAGGGCAGGAGGAACTGCCTCTTCAGGTGGTGAGTGGGACACTTGTCCTCTGTCCCTAAGCAGGGCTTCAAGCCCAGCCTCCCTCACTTCACCCTCCATTCCCCTACCCTCCCCAGGTTTACAGCCTGCCCAGCAGAGGGCAGTACCATGACAGGGCTCAGCACCAGGCTCTGGAATCTGACCCTGGGCTCAACTTCTGGCTCCAGATGCCAGCTATCAATGTAAACACATTATTGAACCTCTCAGCCTCAGTTTCCCCACAGTTAAAGATAGAGAGTACCTACTCACAGGGTTGCTGAGAAAAGTAGAGAAATACATTAAAAGAAGCAAAGCACACCCTGCCACAGGAGGTACCCACTACGTGGCTGCTTCTGCTGCAGGCATGTGGCTAAAGACCCCTAGGGGTTGGAAATAAGGGCAATGGGCAAAACTGGGTACAAATAAGGATTCTCTTCTCCCTTGGAAAGTTCCACCACTCCAATCTCCCAGGGAAATGCAAATAAATTTGCATCGCTAGTCCCGTTTCCCTCATGGGCAGATTAAGGCAGGCTGCAAAGGCTGGAAACTTGGCCAGGCTCTCCCAGGAAGTCAGTGAGAAAAATAAGTGGCCAGAAAACAAAGCAGCCAACTTCTAGTTCAGAGCACCCTCCTTCCAGCAGGACCGAGCATTCGAGCACTTACATACCATCAATGAACAGAGGTGTCTGTGAACAGACGAACATCTATGACAGCTTGGTCACTGAGGTTCATTCAGATGTCAATTAATATATAACAGGATACCAGAAAAACCAGTATATATATAGTCATGTTGCTTAATGACAGGGATACATTCTGAGAAATGTCTTGTTGGGTGATTTCATTGTTGTACAAACATCATAGAGTGTACTTAACATAAACCTACACAGAGCCTACCACACCCCAAGGCTATATGGTATGGCCTACTGCTCCTAGGCTACAAACCTGCACAGCATATTACTGTAATACAGCACTAAGTATCTGTGTGTCTAAACATTCAGGCATAGATCAGGTACAGTAAAAATATGGTATTATAATCTTATGGGACCACTATTATATATGTAGTCCACAGTTGACTGAAATGTTACACAACACATGACTGTGTGTACACATACACACACACGGAGGGAAACAGAGAATAGTAAAATCAGCAGCATTCCAGCAGTACAGCCACCTTTACTAGTAGAAGGTATTTCTCCCTTTCAAGGTAAGTAACCTAGGTGCAGAAGGTAAGAAAGAAAGTGCCCAAAGTCATAGCCAATAGGAAGCAAGGTACCCTGCTGCGCTAGTCATGAGCTGCCCTCTCTGGGACCCTGGGATGAGACCACATCCTGCCCTCAGAGTCTTCCCTGGCCACTGCTCCAGGGCTGCCGTCCCTCCTGCATGTCCCATCCTCACACTCTGCCCACACCCAGACCCACCCCAGTAAACATCCCTCCGACACACCCTGCCCTGCCGGACCCCACACTCACCAGCACATGCCAGACTTGCTCACTGGCCCTGCGGAAGCTGCAGAAGCGCACGCTGGCTCCCAGGAGGCCCTGGCCACCCCACATGTTGCTGGGCACCACCTCTACCTCGCGCACCTTCATGGTCTTCATATTGAACACCTCCAGCTTCACAGGCTTCTCCACGTTGGCTTTCAGTAGTGCCTTCAGCGTGTCATTCTCCTTGTTCTGTGGGGGCACTGGGGCTGACTCCGAGGCCACCCCATGCCCAGGCTAGGACCCTTAGACAAGTCTGGGCCTGAGATGGGCAAGGGCCTCAGTGGGCAGCAGCCCCAGCAGGGCCACTGGGGGGGATGGCCAAGGTAGTGGATGGGCCAGGTTCATAGACCAGGGTTGAGCTTGCAGCCACTGGAACCCCCACCTCCCCCAAGCACTGCCAAACCTTCCTCCCTCAGCCTGCCACAAAAAACCAAGCAAGCAAAAGGCCTCCGTGGTCCACAGCATCGCCCCACTTTGACCTGCCCCTTGGCCAGGGCCCTCATAACCCTCACGCCCCAAGAGGCAGGCCCCCTGGGCCTTGTGGCCACCTCCAAGAGGCCATCTGTCCTTTGTCCACCCCAGAGAGCTCAGAAGCTGAGCACTGAGCAGGGCCCCAGTCAGGCTCTGAGTACAACCCTGGAAGAAGGGGAGACAGGGCTGGGACTGCCTTTAGAAACAAAGGGAAGGAAGGGTAGACTGGGGCCCCCTGTTGGACAGTCGGACACAAGGAGACACAACCATACACAAGCAAGCAAAGCAGAGGCAGGGTTGGGGAACCTCACCAGCCTCGAGTGCCCAATGGTGATGATGAAGTCAAAGTAGGGCTCCAGGCCCGCCTGCTGGGCTGGGGAATTCTCCTGCACCTGTCCCACAGCAAAGGCCACAGTCACTGCGCCAACCTGGGACTCTCCAAGTAGCCCTCACCCCCATTTCAGGAACCATCAGCACCCCCAGGGTCCCAAGCCACAACACATGCCTGGCATGAACTATTCTGGGCATTCTCAAGGTTCACTCCATGCCCTCTTGCTACCTTCCTAGGCACAAATTTTCCTCAGGAAAACGGCTCCTTCCTGATGATCCACAGATGCTTTCAGGAGTGGCTTATAGCCCAGTACCTCCTTAGGGGCTCTAAGGAGGCAGTATGGAGGCAGGCTGGCCGAGGCCCATGGGAATGCTGCTCCCAAGGGCTGGGCTAGGGTTGGCTGGAAAGCCAAAAGGGTTTACTAGAAAGGTTTAGACTGGAGAAGGGAGGGCCCTTACATGCAGTGGAAGTGGGCAGGCCTCGGGAGGGATACATCCAGGGCTGGCCCAGAAAGAGGAGTGGGAAAGGCAGCTTGCAGCCAGATCCCAGGGGGCCACAGCCTCTGGGGTGGCAGACCCGGGCAGTGTCCAGCAGGCGGTAAAAGCCACTGGTAGAGGAGCAGACCCCAGGGGAAGGACTGGGCCTGAGCCAGGAACTCCAATGAGTGGGCAGTGCCAATCCCCACAGCCTGGCTCTGGACTGAGGAGCCTCCCAGTGGCTCAGCTACCCTACCAGCCTCATAGTGTAGCCTCCATGCCTGCGCAGGACACCTCCTCCAGGAAGCATTCCCAGTCCCGGGGGGCTCCCTGGCCCTCCCTGAACTCCCCAGCTCACTGCTGTCTCCAAAAGCACAACAACCAGGCCTTGCAGGCTGTGGCAGAAATCCATCCCCAAAGCCCCATTTACAGAGCCTGGCTTAAACAATGAAGGCTTTGTCCCACCGTCCTAGACCCAAAGATGGGTCTTTGGCTGTGGGCACTTGATAACCTGCTGGTGTAGACAGCAGCTAGACCCAGCCCAGAAGGCACAGGGCCCAGGCTCCTGATGCCTCCTCATGGGAAAGGCCCCGTGGCTCCTGCTACACACCAGCCCCTCCAGTTTTGGATTCCCCAAGCTGAAGGAGAGCTCAGAGACTAGGCTGAGAACAAACCGCTGAGATCAAGGTCGGTTTGCCCCTGGAAATAGGATTCCCTTCTGGCGACATCACCAACTAAGCCCCTCCTTGTCACCTCCAAAAGCTGCCATGGCTTCTAAAGGGAATGAGTGTGGCCCAGAAATCAGCTCTGGCCCTAGTTCGCTTGGCCCAGTGGGCAAGCTGGTCCCAGGTACCTCTGCAGGGGAGCTCTGAGCCCTGCCCTCTAACCCTTGGGGTGGGTAAGGGGGGATCTTTCGAAAACCACAGGACAGTTATTCAGGAAAAGCTTGGGGGCAATGCTCCTCCCTGATCAGGGCCACTTCCAAACCACTCCACATCAGGTGCCTGCCTACTCCCCTCCCCACTCCCAAATACTGCATGTCAGCTGCCCTCCATCATTAATGAGGTCCAGAGGCTCAGGCCACCACCCACCCTCTCCTGTGGCTTTGTCCTGTGCTTGGCTACACTTCACTTCTTTCACCTGGGCCCCATCACCACTCATTATGGCTCTGCAGCTGAAATCTATGCTGCTGCCCACTGTCCTGTCCCGCTGCAGAAAGCACTGCCTGCCATCCAGCTCCCTAAGGGCCTCCATCACAGCCTGCCCACAGCCCTAGAGGTACTGCTTTTCCTAATGCTCCCACCCTGTCTTCCCCAATCAGGTAACCTAATGGAACTCACAGGGATCACAGCTTACATTTACTAAGGGCTGGTTGGTTGAGTGCCACGGGATGGCACCACCTCACCTGCTTTATGTATCATTTACCCTTTTTAATAATCTCAAATGACAGATGAACAAGTACTCAGTAATTCAGTAATCTGACCCCAGGAAATCCAACCCAGAGCCCTCCCCCTAACCACTGCCCTCTCCTAATGGCTGTTTCCTGGCGAATCTGCCACTACTCTAAGCTGGTTGAGGGCAGCGACTTCTCCAAAGTGTTGGGCACACATCGAGGTACCAATATTCCTAGAATGCAGCACAGCTGTTCTTCAATGTTGTTAAATTTAAGAAGGTCATGTCACTCCTCCATTTAAAAGCTCCTGATGGCTCTACATCTCAGAATAAAATCTTAAATCTTCAGGACAACAGGCAAGGTCCTACACGGTCTGCTCTGGTCTCCTCCTCACACCGGCCACACCACCCAAGCACATCAGCCTCACCTGGCATTTCCTCAAACACACAAGCACAACCCACCTTGGGGCCTTTGCACAAGCTGGTGCTTCGCCTGGAATACTACTATTCCTCTAAATATCTGTAATGTCCACTCTTTACTTCCTTCAGAAGCATGTGTTCTCATGTGACTTGAGAAGAGGCCCTTCCTGACCACTCTATCAAAAATAGCACCCACTCACCATTCTGTATCCCTTAATCTGCTTTCTTTTTCTCACTAGTAATTACCACCTACCATGTATTTCTTCAGCTCTCTCTTTCCCAACCAGCATCCCAATGTCAGCTTCAGGAGAACAGGGACCATGTTTGTTGTGTTCACTGCTTTATCTCTGGAGCCTTAGAATTCTGCCTGCCACGGAGCAGGAGCTCAAAAGTATGTTTTTGTGACTGTCAACCTCTGATCCCTGGTCCCTCTCCGATTTGTGCCTCTCCATCAGGCAGGCCCCTCCTGTCTTCGCCTTCGCTCCCATCATCCACCCACCCCTCCTCTTGCCCAAATCCTGAGTTCCTTTGCCTTTAATCAAACCTGATAGAAGACGCTCCTGGCTGGATGCATTGCACTGCCCACACTTGCTCTCAGGTGCCTCACCATAAGAAAGCCCGTTACCAAGCACAAATCCTGTCAACTCTGGGTTCTCCAAGCCAGCCTGGTTTCCGTGTTAAGAAACTCCTTCTTTAGCTCTCTCAAGTGGTTACCTGGCAACAGACCCCACCTTCAAAACACACAAACCGACAAACTTGCCCGTCTCCACTCATCTCTGCATTCAGCGGCTTTGCACTAGGGAAAGCGAGGGGTGGGTGCAGGGACGCCTCTTCCCCGCAGCGCTCCGGGGTCAGAGACGCCCCACCCCCAGGCCTCTCACCTGCATTACCGCCCTTCCCTCTCCGCAGGCACAACCTCGGTCCGCCTGCGGGCCCCTCTCCTCACCCTCACTGCCAGGCTCCAGACACCCCACTCTCTCCACACCTCCTGGTAGCGCCATCTAAGCTGCAAACGCTCTCCTGCGGCTTCTGCAGCACTCTCCTGACCCTCCCGCTCCCCCCTGACCCGCGGCTGGTTCGCGCCGGCCCTCTACCCCCGAATCCCTCGCGACCCTACAACAGGCGGGATGCGCGCCGACGGGCTCCCCCGCAGCGGCGTCCACGCGGTGACCCCGGCCCCGCGACTGCCCTCGGCGTGGCTGACTCTTCCCAGGCCCAGCGCGGAGCGCGGCCCGCGGCCCGCGGCCCGCGGCAGGCGAGCGCGAACGTGTGCCAAGTGCACGGGTGCGTCCTGACTGGTGGCACCCCCAGCACTGTTCACCCGGGAGGAGCGCCAGCCCGGCGGCGGGACCGGGAAACGGTCCGGGAAACGCTTGCCGGCTCTCGGGGCGCGCGCGGGGCCCGACCGCGGCCGCAGACTGGCGGGGGTCCCGGAGTCCCGCGAGGCCGCCTCTCGCAGGCGGCTCCCACAGGGCCAGGGGCACCGCCCGCAGCCCAGGCGCAAACGCTCGGGCCAGGACCCCGCCGCAGTCGCCAGCCAGCCGGCGAGCGGACGCCCGGGCGCGGAGGTGCGAGCGCCCCGCCAAGGTCACCGGCGCCGCGGCGGCGACTCACTCCGTGCAAGTGGAAGCCCTCGGCGCCGCCCGCGGGTTGCGGGGCGCTGACGCTCAGGCCCATGGCGGCGGCTCCGCTCGGCACCCGGTCCGGTCCCACTGCGCGGCCCCGTCAGGCAGCGGGCACGGTCGCTCTCTCGGCACTCGATTCCTGCGCCTAGCGCCGTGCGGGGCGCTTGGCTCCGCCCACTCCACACGCTGACGCTTGGCTCCGCCCACCCACACGCTGACGCTTGGCCCCGCCCACTCCACACGCTGACGCTCCTAGCAACCCGCCAGCAGCTCGGTTTCCAAGGACTGTAACGTGCAACCGCCCGCCGCGGCCGAGCGCCCAGGGTCCTGCCGCGGGAATCCCGCTCCACGCCGCCCCCCAGGCCCGGACCCGGAGGTGCGAGCGGCCGGAGATGAGCAGCAGTGACTCCTCCCTTATGGTGAGTGGCCCGGCGCTGTCCGACCTCTCCCTCGTAGCTCCCCGCTCCTGACCCGGCGACCTCGTGCCTGGCTACTCTCCTGCCACCCTTCGCTGTCCTCAGCCACGTCGGGCGGTCCTGCTCTTTCTTCCCCACCTCTCCCTGGCAAGCGCGTCTTCTCCGCTGAGCCCCAAATTATTATCCCGGGTTCTTGAGCTACCCGATACCAACGCATCCCATATCCCCCATTACCTCTTCTTGTCATGATCCCTTCTTCAACCCAGCTCGCTCTACCTGTGCCTCCCACGCCAGTTGACGGCATCACCATTTAATCTCCTATCCTTAACTCATACCTCTTCCCTACACCCATCTTCTAAGCCTGTCTACAAGAAATGCCAGCTTCTCGATGTCTCCTGGGTTTTCTTTTCATCTTTTTATCTTCTTGCCCAGGACCAGCACCATCTCTCCCCCTGAGCGCCTGCAGCAGCCTCTCTCCCATCTGGTTTCTGTGCTCTGGCTGTCTTGAGCAGCTGTAGTCCCCTACTGCGACCAGGGCACACACCCCCACGTGCAGAAGCAGCCAGAATGGTTATGGCAAAAATGGACATCTGAAAACACCCCTCGCCTTAAAACCATTCTGCTTTCTGTTACCCTTAGGGTGGTGTCTGGGCTCTTTCATAGGGCCCACGAGGCTGTTTACAGGCCAACCACATCTGTTCCCAACCTAGCACCCACAAACCTTAGGGGAAGTGAAACTTAGCTTTAAAATCTCAGCCCCTTTGTCAAGTTGTAGTTTCCATAGGCCTAAGCTTCTTTAGCTGGGAAAGACACTGAGAGGACCATGCACAGGATAATGAATATGAAGCCTACAATAACTTGCAACTACAATTGATATAACTTTTCTTATTATTTGTCCTCATTTATTCCTCTTCTTCCCTTCCTAAGGCAAAACCTGGGTTGAATTCCCCATCGTAGTTGAACCAGAATCTGTTGTTAGTCCCCCAGACAAACTCCTCCAAACTCCTTCCTGGGAAAACTGCATGGAGCTGTCCCCAGGGCTGCTAGAGGACAGGATGGGGCCTGAATGTTTCCTCTTTATTTTCCCTTTGGAGAACTGAGGGGGAACAGTGGATAGGAAGGGAGCAGGTCTCACCCCATTTGGGAGAGAACCGAGACTGAGAAGGGACTGAGCTAACGCAGCTATGTCTTCCTTCATACAGGCTGGGATCATTTACTATAGCCAGGAAAAATACTTCCGCCATGTGCAGCAGGCTGCAGCCGTGGGCCTGGAAAAATTCAGCAATGACCCTGTGTTGCAGTTCTTTAAAGCCTATGGGGTCCTCAAAGAAGGTAAGGACTTGGCAGTGCTGGTCTTGTGACCCCAGGCACTAGCCCAGCTCTAACACGTTGGCTCCACCTGGATGCCTTCTTGTATCCTAGTTATGGTCCCATTAAAACAGTTTCACACTCAGTGGCTGGATTCCCACGGGAGCCTACAGAAGCCTAAGTAATCCATATCAAGTTGACTTTTGAGACCTCAGAGCACTCACTATCCCTGCTCCACACCTCGGGTTCCCTGCCTGTAAAATGAGTAGTTGGAGAGACAGCTGCATGATTCTTGAAGTAATTCCAGGCCTGGAAGCTGAGAACTGGTAATATAGGCAGAATAAGAGGAAGAGGTAGGTTTGGGGACAGGCGGGCATGGTACAGGTACCGGGAGAGGAGTGAGGCCCATGGAGGTGCAAATGGGCTGACATTCACAAGATGGTCCTGGGCTGAGGACTGGCCGAATGGCCCATGGCCAATGTCTGGGGACATGGAGGGATCAATGTAACGAGTGGCTCTTGAGCACTAGCTGGGTATGCCCTTCCTGAGGTCCTTCTTCAGAACTGACCCAGCTAATAATTGCAGCCTCACATGCATCCCCACAAGTACTCACAGGTACACCTTTCAGGTCCAAGATCTCCAGCTCCTAACAGTCTGGACTATGCTACTAGCAACTCTTTCAGGGAGCTCCAATCTTCAGGGAACTTGGGTCATTGGGGACCTTTCAGACCAGTTAGTCTTCTGATTCTGGGCGAAGCCAGATAGTGCTGAGCCGTTGGGTCAGCTACAGAGTATCATGTCCTGTAGTCCTGGAGCTTGAGAGTATAACTATGTGGACTGTCTTTGCAGAGCACATCCAGGATGCCATCAGTGACCTGGAAAGCATCAGGCATCACCCAGACGTGTCTCTGTGCTCCACCATGGCCCTCATGTATGCTCACAAAAGATGTGAAACCATCGGTGAGTGCCATGCTCAGCCAGGCCTGGCCCACCAGGGGAAAGAAAGCCCTGCCCCAGAGATACAGAGCCCCTCAAGGGCTGCCAAAGGAGGTGTGTGCCCTTGTGGTTGTGCAGATGCTGTTAACCAGTGAGAAGTGGCTGATGCTCCTCTCCCCCGGGAGGCCTGGAAGAGGACTCCATGCCTGGGCCTAACTGAGTGGAAGCAGGCAGAGACCGTAACAGTCGGAAGGGTCCACGCTCCAGATCCCAAGAGTTGGGGAAACACCCTTTTTCTTTGCCAAGATCTTGTCAGGAAAACCAAGCCAATATGTATAATTCTACTCCTAATCTCTACCACTTGAGTCAGGGAAAGTGTCCAAGAGAGACTACCCACTACTGTTTCCCCACTCATAGTAAGTTGTGGGCCTGAGGCTAAGGATTTGGGTTTGGTCTGCCTGCTCAGCACACTGCTGGACACAGAGAAGAGAAGAGAATCTGAGACAGCATACCTGAGCCCAGGCCAGGACAGCCCCTGCGGCATCTCAAGGGCAGGGACTGCTGGTTTCCAGCCTTGGGCTGAAACACAGCATGCTGCATATGTTGAGGGAGACCCACAGTGTCTGAGGAAGACCCAGAGGTAGTTCCCTGGGTCCTCCATGGCCCTTGCAGACCCAGGCAGACTTCCTCATCCTAACTCTCCCTCTTCCTTCACTCCTGGATTCACAGACCGAGAAGCAATTCAGGAGCTCGAGTGCAGCCTCAAGGATATACGCAAGGCAGCCAGTGGGACCGCCCTGTACTATGCCGGCCTCTTCCTCTGGCTCATGGGCCGCCATGACAAGGCCAAAGAGTACATTAACCACATGCTGAAGGTCTCTAGAGGCTTCAGAGAGGTACTGACCACACCATGGGGACAGCAGCCAAACACATCACAGCAGATGCCACCTTACTCCCACAAAGGGCCCTGAAGCTGGGAGAGAGCCACACCCAGCCACTGACAAAATGCCAGGTCTCACAGGGGCCCCAAGCATATTGTCACTGTGCTTAGCAGAGGACATTGGCATTTGTCCACAGAGTCTGATCTCTAGATAGATTTTCTACGGCTTCCACCATATTCTTAAGAAAAAGATTTTTGAGACCTGACTGCAGCCACAACCTCCTGGGCATGAGCGATCCTCCCACCTCAGCCTCCCAAGTAGCCGGGACCATAGGTGTGTGCCAGCACACCCAGCTAGTTTTTAAAGTTTTTATAGAGACTGGGTCTTGCCATGTTGCCCTGGCTGGTCCAGACTCACTGGTTCTTTTGAAAACCCAGATGAGCTGGCCACACTGGGCCGTTCCCGCCCTGTAGTGCTCGGCCAGAACTGAATGGCGGCTCGTGCAGTGCAGCTGCTGGACTGCTGCACTAATGTGGGAGTCAAAGCCTCAGTCTAGGCCATTCCTTCTCAGTAGGGTTGATATTAATTTTCAGGGGTGTAGATGTGGTCCCTGGAGAGGGGATGAAGAAAATCTTACTCTTTACGTACAAAACACAGATATACATACAGTACACAGTAGATAGATACGGTATATCTGAGTTGTTAACATTTCTCAGAGGGAGAGCGATTGATTAGAAAACAGTATCTAGGGGCCGGGCGCGGTGGCTTACGCCTGTAATCCCAACACTTTGGGAGGCCGAGGCGGGTGGATCACGAGGTCAAGAGATCGAGACCATCCTGGTCAACATGGTGAAACCCCGTCTCTACTAAAAATACAAAACATTAGCTGGGCATGGTGGCGCGTGCCTGTAATCCCAGCTACTCAGGAGGCTGAGGCAGGAGAATTGCCTGAACCCAGGAGGCGGAGATTGTGGTGAGCCGAGATTGCGCCATTGCACT